AAGGGATGCTGCTGGGTGAACATGGGGGAGTGGCTTGTCCTAACTCAGAGTGCAGGAGAAGAGTCGGGCAGGCTGCACAGAATATTGGGAGTGCTGACAAAAAATTAAAAAACTGCATGTCCTATTTTCGCAGAGGGAAGGGGACTGGATGGAACAAATCCCAAGTGAAGAACAGGGGCTGGGGGTGCAGTCATTCTCCTCCCCCCTGTGCCACTGACACCGTAAGGGCAGCTCCGGCACCGGGTCTCCGTGGGCCACACCCCGTGCCACCCTCTGTGACGTGGTATCTTACTGAACCCTGCTAAAACCCTAGGGAGGGGGCCTATTTACACTCTTCCTTCAATGGGTGAGTAAACTGAGGCTTAAACGGATTGAGAAATTGGCCCGAGGTTACACAGAAGGTCAATGGGAGTCCAGGCTGTGGACCCAAGTCCCTGGGACTGCGGCCTACGCCCCTAACAAGCACACTGCCCTCATCCATACCTCTCTGAAAATACCTCTGCCAGAAGGCCGGGGACTGGGGGCTACTGCCCTGGGAGTGGCACAGCATGACACGGCCAAGACACGGGGCAAGCCTGTGCTCCGCAGGGCTTGCTGGAGAAGACAGACTCTCAGAGGAGGCAGAGAAGAGTCTGCCTGCCTCCACGGCAAAGCTGGCTCTGTCCTCTGCACGTTTTTCTGGACCCTGAGGCTCTTCCAGGACACTCGAGGCCCAGAGCACAGCAACCGTCAGCCATGACACTCCCGACCTGCAGAGGTGTCGGTACGACGGGTGGGAAACACACGAACCGCCTGCACGTGTGGGGAGGGGGAAGCTGAAGCTTCACCTCCTGGGCCTGGGAAAAGCTGGCGAGTGCTGGAGCCTTGGCAGGACCTCCCGCCACCCCAGACCCGGCAGCACAGGGCTCGCCCCCCCCCCACTCCCCGTCACTCAGGTCCCAGAGGCAGCGCCGTCCTTCCACGCCAAGACCCTCGCACAAGGGCGGGTCAGTGCAGACACCACCAATTCCAGCCTGGAAAAGGGGCACCGGGCCCCACCCGCCGACCTTCCCCCTCTTCTGTGCTGCCCACCGAAGCTCCCCTTTTCCCACAACCCCACCCCACCCTGCACGTGAGGGTTTTCACTTCCCTCCGTAACCAGCCCTCCTCCTGACATAGTCTCGGTGCTCAGGGCTGGAAAGGGAGCCTTCTCAATCCTCAGCTGAATATGGGTCTAACAGTGCAGGGCACCCCCAAGCTATTCAAAGAAAAACCACCAGAGGAAACGATTTCAACTCTGGCTTTACAAGCATGTGATTTAAAAATAACTCTGCCTTTGTCTGCTATAGATGACTTTCCCTAAAGGGACTGCTGTCCTTAAAGCAACTGCTCAATTCTTGGGGCAAACTGATCCTTATTTTTCCAGTACCCAGTGGTTCCAAGTACCACCTCTGGCAGCACCTGAATGCAAACACTGACGACAGGGTCAGGATGACTCCGCCATCCCTGCTGGCCTGGGTCCCCCCCGGAAGCTGCCCCTCAGGTGCCAGAGGAGCTCGTGCAGGTGGCCGGAGCGCCGGCGGCCACCGCTCTCCTGCTTCATGAAGACGTCAGCCCAGAGCGCTTGGCAGTCTCCCCAGAGCCACAGAAGGTCTCAGCGGGCGCCCGGGTCATTTCTCCAAGGAAAAGTGTATTTCTACAGATATCTGATCCATTCTTGGATCAGAGGAAGTGAGATGGGTGCATAAAATGGGAAATGGGGTCGGGGGCACTCACGGCAGGTAGTAGGAGAACTCGCAAGAAGGCTCATCTCGTCATTCCCAGACATGTTTTGGGCAGACCTAGCAATGCACAATGGGCCACCTTAGGGCTCCATTCCCTTTCAGCCAGACTCCCTTTCAGGGAGCCCGAATGGCACGGTGCTACCGAGCACAGCTCGAAAGATGCAAACAGCAGAAAATAAATGTTTAATAAAATCACTCTGAAACTGTCTCTGGATTAACCTGATGTCATAGCTTTCCACACCAAAAGTGCATAGCGATGCTCTTATTGACATTGTATATCTTCCTGAGACCTAACCGTCTGCTGGCACTCTCGAAGGTTTTGCTACAGGGCGTTCACCACTGGCGGTACAAACCCCCCCGCCCCCCCCCCGCCCCCCCCACCACATGTGTGTCCGAGTCCTGGGTTAAGCCCTGAGTGTGCTGTCCAGGTTGCAAGTCTACATCAGTGGTTCTCAACAGGGGTGACTGTGCCCCCAAGGGACATCTGGGCGGCAACTGGATCCGTTTTCACTCGTCAAAGCTGAAATGTGTGTGTGTGTGTGTGTGTGTGTGTGTGTGTGTGTGAACTTCCTACCGCGCACAGGACAGTCCCCATGGCAAAGGCTCGCCAGAAACACCAACGCTGCCACGGCGGAGAAATCCTGCTCTGGACCGAACTGACACAATTCCCAGGATGCTCGAGGCTACCTCTATGCGCCTCCCTTCTGAGGGCTTATTTTCCCCAAGATTAACTTGGTATTTCTAGTCTGGCCACCGGGGTGATTACACAGCACAATCAAGAACTTTCTCCTTTTTCAGGTTTGTTTGTGAGCCACCACCCACCAGGGCCACACCCCCTAGCATAATCTTCATCTGGATGGACACTGCATAAACAGCAGGGGGTCACTTTGTCTGCATCTGGTACTTGAAAAAGAGTTTTGACATTCTTCCTTTTTTGTTAGGAGTATCGCTGAGTTTTCAATTGAAAGTAGGTTATTTGGGGGTGCATTTCCATGATCAAAGAGACACTTAAATGATGAGTTAAATGTTTGTAGATCCCACTGCCCCTTTGGATTCTAAGGCCCTTCCTTCCTCCACGAGCTAAGAGCTAAGGAACGACACTCACGGAAACTCAGGGGCCCTCGGCTGTGGATGGCGAGTCTGGCCAGGGCACCTCGAGTTCCTGGGAGTTGCTGAGGAATACTGATCCTAACGAACTCTGACAACAAATGATTTTTGTGGCAGCCTCAAATCCCCAAACCCTGATTCTTGATTCTCACTGCGAACCCAGCTTTGGGGACCTAATATGTGCATGTTCTCGGGGGAAAATTTGGTATTTCTAACATGGTATGTCTTGTATTTGGCAGAGGGTTAAGACATACCTGTCAACTAAATGAAAGTGTTGGGGTTTAAACACCCCGATCCAATCCCCATTGGTCCAAATTCCCTGACGCTTCTCTCAAGAAGAACTTCTCTACTGGACCCGACCCCTGTCAGTAGGTGTTCCAGGAGACAGGGGTTGAAGTAAAGGATAAAAGTAGACATAGAAATAACAACGACCGTAACTGTTCTCATTCATAGAACGTTTGTGCTAGTCGTCCTTTGACCTTTTGATACAGGCCATCTCTAATTCTCACAGTAACCCAACCAAATACAAATTATACCATTCTACACAAAGGGAAACTGAGGCTCCAAGAGGTTGTCACCTTGTAAGGTCACACAGCAGCAAAGAGGTACTGAGACACAGCTGTGCCTCCTCACTGGGGCTCTGTCCCCTTCTCCCTGGTTTTCCCCACTGTGGTTGTTCTGCTGGGTGTGTGTTCCTGGGAAGAAAGTGAAGATAGTGCCACTGCACATTCTCAGTGACAGGGACTCGGGTTCCCATGCAGTATTCTCCCCAGGCTTCTGCAGCCCCTGGGGTTGGTCAGAGGTCACGGCTAAACTCCATTCCAGCCGGTAGCCTTGAGTTCCAGTTCAAAGCAGGTTTCCGAGAAGGGGCCAGCACGGAGAGCTACGAATGGAAGAACTCGAACTCCAGTGCTAATACTCAAGGGAGGGGTGTGCTTTTCCTCCTTTGCATCATTTCCTTCATTTTAATCTCGCTCTTTGTGTCACAGACATTGTGCGGGAGGCGAGGACGGTGGGTTCAGGAGTGATCTCCAGCACAAGCCTCCCATTGTCCTGCTTTCTGTCTTCCCCTGCGGCTAAGGGCCTCAGCTCCGCCACCTTCCCGACAGAGTATCTGGCTGCACCTTTGTTCCTGGTTACCTGTGCACAGAGAGTGGCCTTTCTTCCTGTTCACTCTGTGCTACAGAGGGCAGGGGGCCTGCAGCCACAGGGGCCTCAGCGTGCTTGCGTCTGAGTGCCCAGCAGTGGGCTCTGAAGCGGGGGTCATTTCAGGTGACGTTTTTGTAATATTTCAACACTATTTATAGCCGACCTTGTGGCCTCACGGGCTTTCGCAAAAGCAGATTAAGTGTGATAGGCACATGAATGCTAAAGAGAGAAATATAGGGTCTGGTGTTGAAAAAGGCTAGTTAATATGAGAGCTGCTTTTAAATTCAATTTCCCAATTACTGACAACACAAGATGGAAAGATTTAAAAAAAGCTATCTGCTGCACACCCAAAACTCACATCATTTTTCCCTTTAGGCCAAGTCAAGGATGAACATGGGTAAACCACAGCCTTACAGGGGGTCTACCCACTTCATTCAGCAGGAGCCTATTATCTGTGTGTTTGGGGAACGGGGAAGAGAGACAGCAGAAGAGACGGACACCTGAATTGTCCAAACCATTAACTGTAAGTTGGTAGCTCTTAAACCGCAGTCCTTGGGTCAGCTTCATCAGAACCCTCCAGGGAGCTAGTTAAAAATGCATATTCCTAGGCCATGACCCCAGATCTGAAGAATAAGAATTTCTAGGGTAGGTGTCCATAGCATCTGCATTTAGCTGGCTCTCCAGGTAATACAGATACTCACGGAAGTGGGACAACCATTGCTGTGCATGAAATATGGGGGATGGGGGGGCGAGTAGGTCTACAGTGTGAGCATGCAAAACAGTTTACTCTTGCATTATTATTTATTATGGTATCATTTTCCATACAAACAACTGTAAACTTGTATTTGCCCCATCCGGTACAAGGCTCCTCTTTTAGAGCGAGCTAAGTGCCCCCTGATGAAGGTGTTTATGCCCCCCCCTCATCCTGCCCCTCCCTTTAGCCCTCCTCCCCTCTGGAGGGAGAGCCTCCTGAGAGTTTACCTGGTCTGATGGGGCTCTGCATGCAGTTCGGGGACGGGACGCCCGGGTGAAGGGGTGCGGAGGCCCGACTGCTGAGGTCCATGACGGAGGGGGCAGCTGAGGAAGCCGGCTGCAGCCCCGGAGGGTGCGGGCTGTGGTCATGCTGAGGGCTGGGGGGAATGCCATTTTCTGACAAGAACTCCTCCAGGTCCATGTATTCCAACTGAAAAGTATCTCCATCGTAGGGGAGGGTTTTGTCCCATAAGGTGGGTCCCAAGAACGCCGACTGGGGCACCGTCGGGCTGTTGCTCTCATCATCCAGCTTCTTTCCCTTGTCTTTATCTTTATTAAATGCTGCAGGAAAAGGGGAATACTGGACTTTAAAGAAGAAACAAAGTTTCTTTTTTCCCTCTTTTTTTTTTTTTAACCACCTCCCCTGGACTCTGCCATAAAACCACTCCTCACAAACAGCAGGGTTGTCTGGCCGCTGGCTTGTGTGGGTCTAGAGTTAAAAGTTCAGGCAGGACTCGGATCTCTGCCCATTTTTCAACATCTTCCTATTTACTTTGGAAAGAAAGCACTTGCCCTCGGGACAGGGCTACAGGCTGCTCAAGGATATAAACAAGAGAGCACAGACCTCAGGGCATTATTTGAGGAGACAGACAATCAAAATCCACGGTGGGAATACAACACCTGCAATTCCATAAAGCTGCTGTGATTTTTAAGACAACAGGCAACCGCCACCAAATTTAGTACAGTAACAACATGAAGTCATTCAGACTTGGAAAGCCGGTGAGTTGGCTTTTCATAAATTACCTCCAAAAATGTTGTAATCAACTTGCAAATAGCGGTCACCCCCATTCATAATGAGGAAATGGAGACCCTGAGCCTTGAAGGAACTTGACCAATACCTCACGCTGGCGTGGAAGGAAACCCAGAACACCTCCTGAGCTCCCCTGTATTCGCTTTTAAATCCACGGGGCAACACTGTGTTTCACAAAAGGAGATTTTTTGTTTTTTTTTTTAAAACAGTGTTTTCTCTCCCCTCTTCCTCCAAACACTTAAGTGTAAACTGATTCACAAAAATTACACATGTATGCAACCTATCAAAAGCACAGCTAATGGAGAAGGTGGTTACTCCACATACCTATGACGCAGGTATGCAGCTATTTCTACCTGGAAGTACTGCCTCACCCCCTGAGGGCTTTAACCAGTGCTCTGAATTTTGCCAAGTCTAGTCCTCAGGCGCTGGTGAAATCTGGGACTAAGGAATTTGGTTTCGGAGTTTCTTCTTCAGAGAAACAGCCTCCACATGTCCTCCATTCTAATACACCAGGGTTTCATCTGCTGAGAATCTGACTTAAAACAACAACGGATGCAAAAAAAGATGACTGGCAGCACCTTCCTCCCAAACGCTACTCCTTAAAGGGCAGTCACCGGGAAAGCTGTGCTACTGCAGACCACGAACCAAACCCCTCAATGTTTGCAATGCAACAGGTTGTCTCCGGCTAGGAAAGAAGATGCCAGCACTCCCAATGTATCTGCAGCCAAATGATCTTTCAAGACTTTGAGCTGCACCGCCCGCATTTGCTGTGATACAGAAAGCAAGAAACCGCAATAGCCCAAATGCCAAATCCCTGGTGGCACCAGCTTGGTTCAGCACCTCCTTGCACGACCGACCCCTCGGGTCCCTTCCCAGCCAAGGTTGCTGGGGAAGGTTTGGGACTTACCAAGAAAGGGCTCAAGCCAGAGGAGGCTCCTGCGCGGTTACACGTGAGGCTGCTCCTCTCTCCCCTCCCACCAAGAAAGTGCACGGGGGAAAGTGTCAGCGCAGGAGGCGTGCACGGCTTCCCGCCGAGAAACAACCCCCACTCCCTGCCATCTCTCACCCCCCTTTCTGAATTACTCTTCACTGGAGAACACGCAACTCTGCTCACACCTCCTGAGTTCCAAACCCCAGCTAACAACATAAACAATAATATGATCACAACACGCGGCCTGGGCAGTGAGACTCCCCCACCGGAGCCCCCACCTGCCCAAAGGCAAGCCCCCTGGTTTCTCCTCCCCATCCGGAACAGCCCCGCTCTCGAGAAGCTGGTTTCACTCTGCGGGCGGATAAGCCTTTTTTTAGGAAAGACTGACCTGTCCAGTTACCTCTCCCACCTGCGCCGCACGACTGGGACCCAGGGAGGCTGGGCCGGGTCCCCACGGCTATTTCAAACATGGCTCAGCAAGCGGGTCCCCCATGCTTGAGGAGGGGTGGGGTGATGGGAGAGCCCCTCCAGTTCGTTGAAGCAGGGCCAGGGTGTGGGGTCGGGGCGGGGGCGGGGGGGTGGACGCTCCAGCGAGCCAGCAGGGGTGCCATGCCGAGGAGGGGGGACCCCGGGAGCGTCGTCCCTTCCCAGAGTGGGGCAGCCCGGAGGGCAGCGCTCACCGTCTTCATGATGAAGGGGGAGCTTCAGTGGGTTCTCCAGCAAGGACCTGAGCACACCGTAGGGAGGCGGGATGAAGGTGGGATTCAGGGGAAGCGGTCGGGACATTTTCTCCATCGCGTTGAAAATATTTTTTTTTAGTTAAAAAAAAAAAGCAAAAAAACACCGCCCCCCCCCCAATGTTGCTGAGGTTTTTCCTCCGTCCTTTGCCAAAAGTACTCGCTTGGAGACGAGATGAAAAAAATTACTTATATCTTTATAAATACATCTGCATAAAAAAAAACTTTCAGGTCCCCGGTGCAGACGGTCTCTGGAGAGCGCGCCAAGTGCCCGGCCGGCTCCGCCGCGACGCGCGGGATGCTCTCACCTGCCTTGAACCCCTTCGTCTTGTCAAATGTTCAAAATTCAAAAAAAGAAAGACAAAATATGCAGATGGCCGCAAAACAGCGGAACACACCGCGCCACGGCGGCCCCGTCCCGCCAGCGCCGGAGGCCACACGGGGTCCCACCCCACCCCCCTCCCCGCGACGGTGGCGGCTGCTCCCCCGCGTTCCGCGGCCCCGCAGCGCCGGGCTCAGCGCATCCGGCCACCCATGTGCCGTGGCCCTGACAAGAGTGACGTCAGGGCCCGCACCGCGCACCGATAGGCGTATAGGGGGCGTGGTCATGCGCTGCCCCGCCCCCGCCCCGCCCTCCGCGGCAGCGTGTTTAGCATCGTCGCCCGCGCGGATTTTTCAGGACCATGCGGAGCTGGCAGGTTGTAAAGGGTCAGGTGCCAGATCCCCAAGGCCAACGTCCTGGGCTAAGAATTTGATGTTTTAAAGTGTGGTTCAAAGGATGGGGGATTTATTTCCGTCGTTTTCAACCTGGGAATAACCTGGGGAGTTTAAAAAAAATCCACATGCCCAGGCCACATCCCAGGTCAATTAAGTCAGACCTCTGCGCTGACATCCAGGCATCATTAGTTGGTAAAGCACCACGGTGGTTCTAATGAATACTGAAGCTTAAGAACGACAAGTTTAGTTCAGTTGAAGGTGAATACTCTTCTAAATATTTCTCCTGGCCCCAGAGAGCTTAGTGCCCCCTCTCCTGACCCGCTCCCTCAACCACGGAAAATAGCTACCTACCGCCAGTTCTAGTAATATACAAAAAGTAGAGTGGAGAGGGCAGCGCCTGACCTAGCGCTGTGAGCTGTTTCCCACGCTGTCAGGGGGTAGCAACAGGGATACACAGTTGCCTGCAATTGAATGAGGTCAGGGAAGAGACACACACACTTGAGTGGGATTTAGGAATATTTGCTCGAGGAGAATACAGATGACCATTCGTGGGTCAAGTTACAAAGTCCACACGGTAATTAAAATAGGATTGCAAAGTATTTCTAAAGGGGGTCTTGGCGTTCATTGCCACAGCAGCAGTGTCTCTGGCTGTCACTTTGACGCACCACAGCGCTGGTGGCCCAGGAGTGCTCTATGCCCTTTTGCCCCCAGTGCGAGTGGATCCCCATCCCCCACACAACTTGGGGTGGGCTCAGGGTGATGGCATCCAGGCCTGGAGAGCTCCAGGGAAGCAGGTTCTTCCCCCACTCCCCACATCTCTCTCAGATCCTGGTAGTGTGGTCTGGAGAGGGTCTGCAAGAAGGAATGGGCACAAACTAAAGAAAATGTTCTTTCACTAAGACATAAAGGCCTTCTCCAGTGTAGAGACCTCCACAAAGCCCACATCCCTGGACTGGGATAAGGTGGAGTCTTGGTGCGTTCTACTTCCCTGGAGCCCCCCAGGAGGGAGGTGGGAGGGAGAAGGCACCTGGAAGCCAGGAGCCCCGCAGAGCCACGTGGGTGCGGGGGGTCCCAGGCAGAGTGACTTCTGGCAGGTGCCTTTTCCTCTCTGAGCTTCAGTTTCCTCCTAAAAGGGCATACGATCAAATGACTTCTACATTTTCCCCCTACTTCAAAATTATGACTAAAAGTTAAGGTAACAGTTCTAAGTGAAATGGTGTTATGTTTCAGATTTCAGCCAAATTTCAAAAACAGACTTTTAGCTAATGCTACATACATGTATTGAGCTTCTGTATGGGAGAGACTGTGCTGGGACTTGGGAGAAAAGGGTGAATAACACTATTCTAACCCACAAGAACTTACAGTTTAGGGTCTGGCATATTTGCAAACATTATAATATAGTCTTAGAAAAGCTAAAATAGAGAGATACAGATGACATGGGCACTTACATCTGGGGAGGGAGTCCAGAGAAGGAGTCTGAGCTGGGCATGGAGTTAACGGTCTTTCCTGAACTTTGTGAATCCCTCAATTCTACTGTATTGTTCTTCAGAGATAAGGGACCCCCCTCCATCCCTTTGGAGGGGCAAAGGCTATTTCCCTGCTTCATTCCCCCACCTACCTATAATTGCCCCCCCCCACCCCCTGCTAAAAAAAATGAGTGGCCTAAAACAACAAGCATTTCATTTCCCATCATTCTGCAGTCTGGATGAGGCTCAGCTGGGATGCTGAGATGACTGGCCTTCTCTTTTACTTCTCTCTTTTCACACGGTCTCCTTACATGGCTTCTTCATGTGGTCTTTCCAGCAGAGTAGTCAGGCTTCTTACACAGCAGCTCAGGGTGGCCGTGAGCTGGCAATTCAAGATGCATCCCCCTGTGTGCAGTGCTCATCAACACTTTGCTCACTCAAGTTCCACCGGTCAGAGCAAGACACCTGGCCGAGGCTTGAATTAATGTGGGAAGGGACTACGCCAAGTGTCTGTTCAGGTCCCTTGCCCATTTTGAGATGGGGTAGTTTGTTTTTTCACTAGTGAATTTTAGGAGTCTTTAAATACATTTTGGGTACAGGTTCTTCGCAGATACATGTGTTGTGAATATTTTCTTCCAATCTGTGGCTTGCCTATTAATTTTCTTAACGTTGTCTTGCCATGAGCAGAAGCTTTTTTTTTTAAGATTTTATTTATTTATTTTTAGAGAGGGAGGGGAGGGAGAGAGAGAGAGAGAGAGAAACATCAATGTGGGGTTTCTGGGGGCTGTGGCCTGCAACCCAGGCATGTGCCCTGACTGGGAATCGAACCTGCGACACTTTGGTTTGCAGCCCGCGCTCAATCCACTGGGCTACGCCAGCCAGGGTGAGCAGAAGCTTTTAATTTGATGAGTTTAATTTACCAGTTTGTCTTGCATGATTTTTACATTCTGTGAACTGAAACTCCTTTGACTACCCCAAGTCTTAGAGATACTGTCCTCTAAAACTTTTATCATGAAAAGTTTTATTTATTAAAAGTTTAAGCTTTTCCATTTAGGTCTCTGGCTCATTTCAAATTCATTTTTGCGTATAATGTTGAGGTACGGATTCAGCTGCTGCTGCTTCTTTTTTTTGTTTTGTTTTGTTTTTCTCATGGGACTACCCGATTATTCTAGCAGTGACTGTTGAAAAGATTTTCAAAACTTCCAGCCAAGATGGAGGCGTAGGTAGACACACTGTGCCTCCTCACACAACAGAAAGGACAACAATTTAAAAATGAAAAGCAACCACAACTGACAGAAAATCGAACTATATGGAAGTCCAACAGCCAAGGAGTGAAAGAAACACACTCATCCAGACCTGTAGGAGGGGCAGGGATGGGCACATGGATAGGACTTGCAGTAAGGCGGTGGCTGCAGGACCAGGGCGGGCAAGGCAGCAGCTGGCAGACCCAGCGCTGGATTGTGGAGCGGGGCACGCAAGGCTGCAGCTGGCCGGCAGGACTGGGCAGTGGCTGGTGGAGTGGGCGGTCCCACATTCGTGCGCAGATAAACTGGGAGGAACAATTGGGGACCGAGACAGTCTCGCAACCCAGGGCCCCAGCTCGGGGAAATAAAGCCTCAAAATACTGATTGAAAACATCTGTGGGAGTGGAGGTGCCGGGAGAGACTCCCAGCCTCACAGGAGAGTTTGTTGGAGAGACCCACAGGGTCCAAGAACATACACAAGCCCACTTACACAGGAATCAGCACCAGAAGGGCCCAATTTGCTTGTGGGAAGTGGAGGAAGTGACTGGAAGCTGGCAGAGAGTGGAGCAAGTGTCATTGTTCCCTCTGGGACCCCTTCCCCACATACAGCATCACAAAGCAGTGATGTGGTTTGCCCACCATGGTGAACACCTAAGGCTCTGCCCCTCACTATGTAACAGGTGCATCAAGACAAAAAAAAAAAAAAAAGATCAAAGCTCCAGAAATAATACAACTAAGCATTGAAGAGATAGCCAACCTATCAGATGCACAGTTCAAAACACTGGTGATCAGGATATTCACAGAACTGGTTGAATTTGGTTGCAAATCAGATGAAAAAGCAAAGGCTACACTAAGTGAAATAAAGGAAAATGTAAAGGAAACCAATAATGATGGGAAGGAAACTGGGACTCAGATCAACAGTGTGGACCAGAAGGAAGAAAGAAACATCCAATCAGAAAAGAATGAAGAAACAAGAATTCAAAAAAAGGAGGAGAGGCTTAGGAACCTCCAGGACATCTTTAAACATTCCAACATCTGAATTATAGGGGTACCAGAAGGAGAAGAGAAAGAGCAAGAAATCAAAAACCTATTTGAACAAATAATGAAGGAGAATTTTCCCATTCTGGCAAAGGGAAGAGATTTCTAGGAAGTCCAGGAAGCTCAGAGGGTCCCAAAGAAGTTGGATCCAAGGAGGAACACACCAAGGTACATCATAATTACATTAGCCAAGATTAAAATGCATTGTGTCTTCATCCCCAAAGGTTCTGATCCATAGAAACTGTCATCATCTCATACCGCGTTCTTGCATCGGGCAGGGTTTCCTGTGAGCCATCTTGTAAGCGACTGGCCAACTTTACATCTATTAGTGGGTGTCTTTGTTGAGACACTGATACCTGGTTTAATTACTAGAGGCCAAGGCATCTGGCTTACCTCCGACACATGGCACAAACCATGTGCAGCCAGATTGGCCTGGCCTGGCTCTCCCTCAGAAAGGAGCTCTTTTCACTCTTCCGCCCTCCCGTAATGGCATCGCGCACCCTGCCACCAAGTGAAAAGCTGCACATTGAACCCTGCTTTCTTCCTCTTCCCCCAATGTGACTTTTTGAGCACCAGAGGCAATATTTAACATCAAGGATAGAGCCTGACAATTCTCAGAAACACCCTCTCCCTCCCATCCTGTCGCTGCTTTTGTTAAAACACTACCAGCTCTCCCTCAGAGAGTCTCCGCAGCCTCCTCACTCACTGCTGTCGGCACACTTGTCCCCTTCATTCCCATTTCTAAATCATCACCGCCAAAATCGTTGTTCAGAAGTACTCATTCGGTTTTATTTTGTTTCTCGCTTATGAGCCTTCAGTGTGTCCACACTATTTGTAGAATAAAACCCATGCTCTTATGCAGTGGACGACCTAGCCCAGCTGAGCACCAGTCTCCAGGCTCATTTCCAGCTCAGCGCAGACCCCGCCATCCCTGCCGTTAGCTCTCCACCTGTACCCCGCCCCCAACAGCAGGAGGCAGCATGCAGTGTTTCAGTGACAGCTCTGGAACAATCCCCCTGGAGCTCACACCCTTGCTCCACCATCTGTTAGCCTGGTGACTTCGGGCAAGTC